CATCCGCTCCTTAAGTTAACCAATATAACATACATACAGCTGATTACGATCAAAATGCAAAATTTAAAGTAAAGACCAATCCTGTGAAATGCTAATATATGCATTGTCATAGGTGACCATAATTTGCAAGTTTTCCATCAAACATGCGCACGTATCTAAAGTAACGCATTGTGTAGGATCTTCGAATGCACTGAATGGATTCGATAAGACCTTATAATTTTGCTGATTATTTTATTTTGCAGTATTTCACTCTGAGAAGCCGGTGGACGTGTCCTGATCCACACCGGAATTGACGACCACTAGAATCTCATTGGTCCACGGTTTGAGGTAGTGGACGTAATGGATCCCATCACGCCTGCGACAGGAATGGAGTTTGCGGAGGGCCAACTTGATTTGTTTGAATTAATGCACAAATGCATATGTACAGTACTTGGTGGTTTTAAAAATCGCGTGAACAATTATGATGATTCTTTGTTTTTACATCCACTTTATGGGTTAATCCAAAATTCCTGTAAATAAATTAATAAAAGCATATAAAGTTGAACTCTACGGAAACCATGGCTTCCCATCATCTTCAATTTATTCAGGGAAACATGTTATAATCAATCAATAAGATATAGGTTAATGAACATTCCGTCAATGCCAATAATTGAAATGTGACGTCAGCCTATGGGTACTTGGCAATCGTACTCTGTATCCAACTAGTGAAGCTGCTGACTTTACTGAAGATACTGGGGACCCCGGGGACGTAACAGTTCTGGGTGCCGTGTGACGTCACACCGACCACGCTGTACTTGCCGTTCTCTTGACACAGGATGGGGCCGCCGCTGTCACCCTTAAATTGAAAAATAAAACTAATGGAATAAAATACCAGAAATCGGTTAAAGAATTGTTTCAGAACTTGAAGTATACAACCTTAAATTCGATACTAATCTACAGAACTCAACAAACGTGCGGCATAGACAAGATGCAGATGACGGGTATTTATAATACACAAAGTACTGAATAAGTGTCATAAGAGGATGCGTGGTGATAAAAAACCATAAAAAGCGTGTGTCGCAAAATAATTGGGAAATGTTAGGTACAATCTTTATAGTATTGGAAATTTAACATAAGATGGGTGCAGAAATGGGAAGACATATTGCTGCATAATGATATATGCTTAAAAAGAATCAGTCCAGAAATCATAGCAGGCGGCCTTCGAAAACCAACACAGTAACCATTACGTCGTTTTGTACCGATTTGTTCTTGAAAAATATGGCAGATTTGAAGTGGGCCAAGCCCGAACTTCCTACCTGGCAAGCTGTACGGACGCCATCCCCAAAGCACTGTTGGATGTTGGGGTTCAGTTTAAATGACCAGTCAGGCACTTGGCGGCACTGGGTGGCCGTCCAGATTTGCCCCTGGAGTTGCTGGAGTTTATTCTGGGCGGCAGTTCCTGGAATATGTGTTGGAGGAATACAATAATTGCAAAAGGGTCGCTTTAAGACGTATTAATTAAAACCTACAGCAGTCTACGTGGCGACACTAAATTGCAAGAAATGGAAACTCTTCGTGCCTTAAAGCTTCAGTTTCACGGCAAACTTTCAGACAACAGGTTACTTCAGACAGACATCCTGTTTAAGGAACGAAGTACGGTTCAATACCCACCAGCTAGCTTACCATTCGAAAGATGTAGACGTTTTGTGCATCACAACTCTAGGATGTTATGTCTGAAAAAAAAGACGCGCGCGCACACACACACACACACACACACACACACACACACACACACACAGAGAGAGAGAGAGAGAGAGAGGCGTATTGTTATCACATAAACACTTACCTTTGGTGTCTCCCCATCCCACAATCCAGCACATTTTCCCCTCATAGTTTGTTCCTTGGGAGGGCAAACACGCTGGCCGCACGTACTGGGAGGTGAAGTCAACGTCCGTTTTCAGCTTCATCAGAGCGATGTCATTGTAGAATGTCATTGCGTTGTATTGTGGGTGCTGTGAATAATATATATAGTTAACAAAATATATTTTCAATACAGCATGTGCTTCGAAATTTGATGGCTCTTAAAAGAAAAAATTTACAGCAATCTGTCCGATTTCAGCTTTACCAGGGCGATGTCCTTTTTATTGGGGGACACCACTGATACCCAATAGCTCGGTGTAGGCCTATTCCCACATCTCCATTACAGACCCGGGTCCGACAGCTGCACTTACTTTTGTAATTGTTTCAGTTTCAATGTAAGGATAACGGGTTTAATTTGTGTTGATGAAGAGTTGGAGAGTGAGAGGAACAAGTGAAAACGTTAGATTGGAAAAAAAGTGTGACAGTGACTCTTTTCCAACATTTGCCTTCCAGGTACTAATGTCTGAAGTATCATTTGTCATGATTTCAGCTTTGTCATGTGCCAATATGTTCTAAATTTTATCGGAATGAAAGACCCTGCTGCCACCTACCGTAATGATCCGTTCAACCTGCAGCACCTGCTCCGTGCCCTCGTTCACGTACTGGTCCGTGTCGCCTGCTACCACGTTATACTGACTGGGGTACTTGAAACTGTCAACAAATATCAGATGTTTTTCTTAGTTAACCTTTAAAAACATGGAGATGGTGTAACTGTTAAAATGCTAATTCGATCTGTTTAATTTCCTTTAAAGGCCATACTTGGGTTTATTAACTCTGACAACTCTAATGTCAATAAGATGTTTTCTCCAAATATGAAACACACACACGCANTATGAAACACACACACGCACACACACACACACACACACACACACATTTATGTATAATACCCGATATAAAATTAAACTAAAAAAATCAATATATCAAATCTTATTAAGAAAAAAAAAATGAAATTTGCATTCAACATGTATCAATCATTACATTATAAAAACCAATTAATCGACAGCCCAGAGGTCTGAGGTGTACAAAAGCACATACTCCTTAAAGCAGTGAGCAGCCGTGACCACCCATCGGCTGCTGATTAATGTTCCTGCACAGCAATGGCGTCTCTGGTTGTTCCCCGGCTGGCAGAACGTTCTCAGGGACACTTGCCAGGGCCAGGAGCCTGCCCTTGCGTTTTGACCATTGATGATACGGCTGGTCTTGCCGGGAATACCACAAACTGGAATTAAGAGGCACCGCCGTATTTAAAGTTTAATACATATATATTGACTGATAAAAATAATCGTCCCTTAGGACGAAAAATGCCAGCCCTGGACTGATATGTGATCTAGGTCTGTGCAATTTCTTAATTTGCGACAACTAAGTAGGTAATCCTGTTCACTTATTCAGAAAAAAGACCCCCTTTAAAATTCGTGGATGCGGACCTGTGCCCACATTTTCTTACCGTTTGATACGGTATGTAAAGGTTTGTACAAACGAATTGGAGAGAGAGAGAGAGAGAGAGAGAGAAAGAGAGAGAGAGATCACATTTACAAATTTACTTTTGTCATTGACCGGTGTTCCACTTCCTGTGCTGGTAGTTCCTGTTCCAGTGCCTGTCCCCGTCCCAGTTCCGGTGCCTGTGCCAGTCCCAGTTCCGGTGATTATGCAGCACTTTTGCTGGGTTCCATACGGACAAAGACCATACCCGTTATACGCTGTGCCAGCACAGCCAATATTTAAGCTCAAACATCGCCCTCCGTATCGAGAACTGCAGCCGCTCTGCTGCTGTGTCGCTGTAACGTGGTCAGAAACAATTAGACATGTCGACGTACTGCATTTTTAAAATCATTTTCCGAGAATTTTTTTAAAATTTGATTTCCGAAGCACGTTCGGCATGTCTTGCATGGATTAGAAAAGGCTTAGGAAGAAAAAACTTTTAAACAAATTAAGAAATGAAATGTAAATTACGATTAATCCAGTTGTGATGTTCAAAAGACAAAAATATTAAATGTAATACTGCGCATTCAAAGATATCTTTGTGATAGAAGACAAAACGTCGAACTCTCTGCATTACATCTAGCAGATCTACGTGATAGCCCAGTATTAGATTTAATATTTTTGCCTTTTGAAATCAAGAAGCGCGTATCCGTGAATTAATTGGGTACTTACCCGTGGCCCTGCAACAGACTGATCCGTACGCGCAACCATACGCCTGTACAGCTGAGGCGCAGTAGGCGGCAGGAACGCACTGCAGACGCAACTGGGAGCAGTAGTAGACGAACTGACCTGAACAAATGACATATAAAAGTCGCAAATCATGAGAACATACACATAGGCTGCGTGGAGCGTCAACGCGCTAAGATGCAAGAGTGCAGGAGTGATAGGGTATGACGTATGGCAACTGTGAAGAAGGGAGGGGGATAGATCGTGCAAAAAATTGTAATGGCATCTCTTAAAAGAATCAATTTTGTGAAGACAGACTTGGAACTTGAATGTGTAACGCCGTTTACTGAAAAGCGCAAAATCATTAACAATTAAATTCGATATTAAATATTGTCACTCATCCCGTCATAGACCAATTATTTTTCTAAATCAATATAGTATATTTTAATTTTATATCATTTAAATAATATGTAACTATATAAATTATATATTTAAATGTACAAACCGTGAGACAGGGCCAGGGAACCCAACAGGAGAGCCAACACAAGCATGGCGACGTACGTCTTTGACCAGCTTCTGGTCAACGTATGGTCAACGTCGCGAATTTAAGATACAGTTTGAACACGTCAGCACCACAGTACCCTGTAGTTCACATCATCTTTAGATTCAGGACCAATGATTAAGTAAACAGATCACGATATGTATATGAGGGCAACATTGTGATGTACGGCCGAGATAACTACAACCATGGATCCTTATTTTTTTGATGACGTAACGGTTTTTTTTACTCAAATGACGTATGTTGTTTCTTGGAAGAACGTACTTTTCAAGATGAGACTCCGGGTTGGAATGAGCTCTAATCAGTTTAATCTAGGCGCGGATTAACATGCATGTTGCAGTTGACATTGTACCTTGCTTCCTGTCCAGATGGCGTCTTTCTCAAGGCGGTGTGCATGAAGAGCTTCACCCCGAGTTGCCTAGGTTCCCGTACTATACCCAGACTGTCATCAGCATATCTCTGTATACCTCTATCTTATAGAGTGTCGAGTCCGCTGAGACCTTTAAAACTTAGGGTAGACAGACATTGACATTGCGCCGTCAGGGTCATTTCGTGATCCTAAAGTGACGAACCACCTCTGGGAGTTTTCTTAGCTTTTTCGTGTTCAAATGTATTATTCTTCCATTCAAAACATGATACTGGACCGCGAACGTTTGGTTCAATATTCATTTGTGAAAGAATGATTTATGTACCCTAGCTTCAATCATAAAGAAGGTAAAGATGCACAGTGGAATATTTTCTCGCGAAAAATCTGTCTTCACGAATTATTCTGCATGGAATACGTAACTAAATCGAGATAACTTCCAAGGTGCGAGATTCGTCAAGAGGCGAAAATGAGTTTTTTTATGGCGACACCACTACACGACAGTTATCTGTTAAATGAGTTACAGTAACATTTGAAACGAGCTGACATGTCAAATCACCGACACTTAATCCGACCAAACGCTGTCGTATAGTTTCAAATAGCATGATGAAGAGTTATGGCATTCACGGAGAAACAGGTCATACACTTCCTGTGTTCCAGAGCACGGTATACATCAGGCATGAGCCTAGGTTAAAAAAAAAAGACACTCTGAACATACCCCCCCCCCCATTTGATTGCAGATCTTGACTAATCTGGATTGAATTAAAAAAAACGCGGACTTCTGCGTTTCCATGGAAACGGCTGTCTGATACATATTGAAAGCATAAAGTGGGAGTTCCCAACCACATCTGACACTCCGACAGGCCCACACAGCTCATCATAATGAAACACAACTTCCCAAGTTTACAATGACTTTTGTTTATTGAGCAGGACACATGATACCACTTACATTTAGATACAGACACATTAACCTTAAGTTTACTAAGCAAAGATGTACCATGTTACTGTTTCATTGTGCTATTTTCGTCCCAACTTCCTCAGTCCCCAATTGCCTTGAACAATTTACATTTTTAGTCGAAATAGTCTTGTTGTTTTTCTGTGCCACTCTTTCATGTCATGAAGTGATAGAATTGAGGAGCTCAACCCAATCCACATCTTCAAAGACACCAAGTTCCATGATCTTCAATCAGAGCAGTTCTGCCGCATCATGGCTTATTTGAAACACTTTCCATTTCTAGACAGAATGTCTTGCGGGTATAATCCACAAACGAGGTAAAAGGTGTTATATTATTGAACATACATAAGTTATCATATGACACCAGTAAAAGCAGACTACCTCATATATATGGCCGTGTAACGACTGATTCAACAATGAACTTACAATTGAATGAAATGGACTACCTGATACTAAAACTGTTCTGCCCTAAAAGTGGAACATTGGTGATTGGTATTGTGTAAACTACAGAAAATGACGAATAGGAGTATTGATATTTTTGGAGGACTATATCGTAAGCTGAACTTTTGATAAATAAGCGTCTGCCTGAAATAAAACAAACAGTTCCTACTGATCTATGACGTAATCAGAACAGTTCACACAAGAACTACTTTAGACTGACATTTGGTCTTACTGGTGTCACCAGGCAACTAGATGGCAAAGAGAATGTGACCGCTTTGTGAACTAGTCCCCGGATGACATAGTGGAGATCAATTCCAGGTCTAACTAGTCCATGTGTGAATGCACCTATTGTCTAAACAAGATCACCTAAAACACACATCATTCTACAGGCACAGCAAGCTAGCTACCTCGCCACAGCAAATGCAATGTCATGGCATGAGCAACATAAATGTTATGATTAACCATTCACAGAAAAATAAAACTTGGTGAAAAAATTAATAAATAACTTACACATATGTACATACATTGTTAAGGCATAATAATTTAATCAACTGCACTAGCACTGACACACTTCTCTATGCACTTTACAAACCTCATCACTTATTGATATCATATTTTAGCACAATGGCAAAAATCAAAACTAGCCAATTTGGATTAGATATAATTCATTTGCTTAGATCCCATGCCCTCTACCCCCTCCCACAAAAAAAGTAAACCCTATGCGTAGTTATAAAGCGGAAAATACAAACTAAAAGCCATCTTTAGAACATCAACGGTGGCAGCGGTGGGATGGACATTTCACATTTTTAGAGTTTTAAGAAACAAAGAAATATCTAAACAACAAAAGAGCCCAAAGTCAGTGTCAACCCTCCCCATCTCAGGTACCGCTTCTTTATATTACTTTTAATTGAGATCAGTTGGAAAATTTCACTCAAATCATCTGAAAGACCTTCTGACATTCAGAACTCGGATTTCAGATCTTCATCTTTTTGCTTTGATGCTGTACCACTGCTAGGTCTCTCCCAGGGCCGAGAGTGCATAAATATCAAACCACCTCTTTTATAACATAAATGGGTTACTATGTTATTTTTCAGTAAATTGACCCAATTATCCGAAATACCGCAATGGTGGCCTACAGCTCTCAAACTCTGGGTTTCCCTAACTTCATATTCCAACTTCCCTTATGCCATCATGCTTAGCATGTCAGCCTTCTTTTTCTCCCTCCAACAAAGCAGACAATCCATTATTATTATTCACTTTTCTCAGCATCAAAACCTCGAAACTGGACTAAGACGAAGGAATTATCTGACTGAGATGATACATTTAAAATTAACTGGACATTGAATTTTATGGTCTTCCAGTATGACCAAACCAGATTTTAGGTCTTTTTTTTTTTTTCAAATCAACAGGTCATCCACCTTAAGAAATCCTCCCTCAGAGACAGCCTTGACACTTGACAGTTAACCATGCCCCCCTTGCCCCCCCTCCCTTTTAAGAACTTTCAACTCACTTAATCTTTATACAAGTAATGTCACCATTCACAGGAAAAAAGGAATTTTGCCTTACACCAAGATATATGCTAAAACTATTCAATACTGAATGCCTTGCCAATTATATTCCTAATACTTAAAAAAAGAAAAAACATTGCACAATTATTATCCAAGTCACATTTCCATTTCATAACCACATATGATCTAACAATAAGCAAGTTCTTAATTCCTACTCTAGCCAGCAGGTTATAATACACCTGGCAACAAACTTCTATCAAAAAACCACATGCAAATATCTACAATAATACATACATAATTGTCTTTAAACATTCCAATTCAATTATTCAAAATGTACATAAATCAACATAGTGGGCTTATTCTGCTTTATCCCAGATAAAAAGCTACAATGGCATATGATACACAATATTTCTGAAGCCACAGACTTAATTATCATTATTACTATTACCATTATCATGTATCTAATACAGTTTATATGGCAGCATGAGAAGAAGCAGCAGGCTGTGTTGGGGTTACAATCTCAGGGGAACCATCCCCTGCCCCAGGGTTGTGAGCACTGAGAATATAGTCTTGTAAATTATGCTGAGAGCAGTTTAGAACAAGACACTGGTATGTGAATAGATGCCTTAAATGTAACCAATGGATCATTTGACAACTTGAAAAGACTTGCAAATTTCAGGTTTTTTTAATGTTTTAAAGAATAGACATGTTGATCCCTATAAAATACAGGGAGGTAAGTATATGCCATAACATTTCCACGCCTTCTTCACTGAAGCCGATATCAGTTTCATCTTATGCTGCAATAAAAACTGCAGATTACAAAGTAGAATACTACATTTAATGACATGTCGTTAAGGAAACTTGTCAACAAGCATCAATTCTAAGATACATAACCATAAGTTCAAGGTGTATATACAGATGCAACTTGTTTCCCATTCCACAATTCTGAGAATACAGATGCCATTTGTTTCCCATTCCGCACTCCTAGAAATACAGGTACAATGCCACTTTGTTGCACTTCAGAGCCACCTCCTTACACAGACATCTGAATGATAACAATAGTTCTTTAGACCTCCAGACACACCTCCTTCATGGTACCAAACATCCCACATTGGTATCAAGAATACATCTTCAGAAAGGCATGCTTTCTGTGTGGCCTTAAGCAAAGATGTTCTCACAGTCAATCCAACTTGACCTAGGCTGGCACTGGTATGGTATGGTGATGTGAAATATATGATCTCAGGTGGCATCAAATCTGTATTTCCCACAAAATTGTGGAAGCTGCATGGGACTTCTTCAGGATTCACCTACAACAGGAAATGAAAATGTAACAACATGCTTTCACCCGATTCCCATTTGTATTAAGGGAAACCAAAAAGTAAGGGCAAATCACATTCAATACTGATGTCAAACTCAATATTGTGCAAGATGCCAAAATGAGGAGACATTAATCAAAGAAAGTAAAGAAACAAATTAATGATGCAATTTCATAATGGCACTTGCTGGCGGTGTTCCAAAAATCTCAAATTGAGGCCATGTTCAGAAGCCGACCAAGTTGAACCAGAAATATGTTAACCTGAACAAATTCCTTAACATTATGTTTGAAACACAAAGGTCCCTTTGACATATCTGCTGAAATTCTTAAATGATATCAGCTCTAAGACTTCAAAGGGGCAAATTGCTTTTTACGTGATTTACAATAGGCATGATAAGGGTCCCAATTTGGATCCATTTATGATCTAGTCATATGGTGATGTAAAATGGACCATTCCTATTAAACATTTGGTTGGTTGTGAACACATCCTTTCTTTGCACAATGGCTCAAGCATTCTCCAATAATTCAACATGACACCCTGCCAAGACATCAGCCGTAAACCACCTGCCATCAGTCCATACTTACTACTGGCTGTAGCTGCAGCTAACTTGTTCTTAGCCATTAATTGTTTAACTTTTAACTGCTTGTCTGCCTCTGATAGCGGCTGCAGGCCTGGGAAGGGAAGGGGAACACACTGAGGTTAAAACATCAAGCATGCATGGCTAGGATGAAGCATTTACACAAAACCAATTGGTGCACATTGAGTTTGAACCAGATCAGTCTTATTAGGATAACGAAATACAGAACTGATATAATGAAATACAGAATTGATTGGGCTTTTCATTGTTTCTTCCATAATGATGAATTTTTTTAAATTTTAATATCTAATTTTTATTATTTCTTGTCGCCCAGATTGAATGTGATTTGTGAAGAATCTTGTACATTAAAATATAATTTTGTGAAATTGCATGACACCTATTTTTCTGAATGTAACTTGGTTCAAACTCAACTGAGGCTAAGAAAAGTTACCTTACATGGGTATAAAGGTGTTAAAAATACTAAACAAAAATTAAAAATTCAATTCTCAACTAGGGAATGAAGAACACAATGATACATACTAAAACAAAACTGTATCTAAATAATGACATATAATAAAACTGACAAGAGGATATCAATCATTAGAAAAGATGCTTGTTCAGTATGTTACAATTTAAGCATGGTGAAACAGTGATTGAAATGTAAGAAAAGCTGGTACAAAATGCATGAATTTCATGGAACAAATGTCAAATGTGCCAGGGCAAGATAGCTGTGTGAAAATCATGTGAGTATTTTAGCTGCAGATTAAAAATAAAAATATATGAATTAACAAAAGATCCTGTTATTATCACTTGGAAACATTTCATCTGAGCAATTTTCTATTTATGAAGCACCAGATCAGATTGAAAAATAAAAATTAACTCCAAAGATGTACTACTAAAATCTAACTATGCCCAAATGCAAAACCCCCGAGATCCCCCAAGATCTAAACTTCATTATGTCCAAATTTCCCAATCATACTTCCTCTGTACCATGAAAACTACCAACCTGGTTGTTGAGGAAGACCTCTTTTGCTGCCTCGCGGGTTATTGTCCTCCCGAGAGACGGAGGGAGCAGGTGGGTATATGATCACCTGGCTGATTTTACTGTGAAGAGAAGGAAGCAACAACCCAAAATAAAAGCCACACCCAAACTCAAACTAAGAACTGCACTGTGGGATGGATGGATGGCATCCAGAAAGAAGTATTTATGGGTAGTATTTTCATCAGGTGGTTATCATATCACAGAAGTGTTGATTGTAATCATGGAGGTGTCTGCACAGTGTTAACCCTGACACATAATGCAGTGTTTGCAGTCAACTAAAGTTTTGATCTTTTTAGATTTGATATTTGATTTTTGTTCCTTTTTTATTTTACATCATGCAAAAAGTGACAATTGTACAGGTTTCAAAATATTATACACCGCCAAAGAGCGTAGTTCCCACATATAATTAATAAAGTAAGGTTTTGCATCAAGATAAAAGGGTGCAATTTGTGACTAGAGATATAATTGGTTTCTTTTTGTCCAACAAACATTGGGGTTTTACAAAACACACATCTTTTTAATCACAAAAGTAGAATGTCAAAAAGATTTAAGTTCCATCCCAGGAGTGCAGTTGTATTAAGCACACAGGAAAACACTGCAAGTAGCTGGAAACCAAAACTATGAACAAAAATTAAAACAGATAAAAAGAGGTGAAACAACATGGAGGGAGTTTCCCCATGCACTACAAACTACAATGGACTAACATTGCCACCATGAGCCTACAGTTGTCTTAAGGAGTAGATTTAGACAGACTAAGGTCTATATGTCATCATATTACTACAATATTTTAGTGACTTTGCTGTATTTAGAGCCATGTCTTTTAGAATATGAACCCAAATATCACACAGCTGCACATAACCTGACTGGTGAAATGTTAGTATTATGTTACTATTTATTTCAATTGTGACATGGTTAATCTGTGCCGTGCTCACTCCAAGTTGTAATCAGGTTAGACATTTGAGGCCATTAGAGGCAAATAAAAAAAAAATTAAAAATAGTGCAAATGAAACATTTTCTTCTACTGAATAAGATGAGATGGTTACTTCTGTTTCACAATATTATAATACAGATATCACAAACATCAAATTAAACTAGAGGATCAGAGAGGCGATACCCCCTCCGAATATTGTACCACCAGCTGGAGCGAGCGCATTCGTATAGACCCCCACATACACAAAATAAGGGACACAGCCACCAGTCTTGTGCTTGACAAGCTGTAAAAATGCAATCAACAAAAATTTTCAAAATATGCAAAAAATATATATAACTAAAAATGGTACAATCAAATTTA